CATTGTACTACTTTGGGGAAGTGATCAGTATTTTTTTTTTTTTACACAATTTGCTTAAAGCAAAGAATTACTTTGCTATAAGCAAGCATTTACCTGAATGAAATCGATTCATTCAGCTTTTTTTTTTTTTTTTTTTTGTGCTTAGCTGTGATTTGGTCACAGCTAATCACATGACATGTGCATGTGATTAGCTGTGACCATTCACAGCTAGGCACTAGTATACAATGGATGGCATCATGAATGAAGCCATCCATTGTATACAACTGTCATGTGACCTGCTGTGATTGGTCACAGCAGGTCACATGGTACCAGCAACGGGAGCCGGTACTCGGATCTGTCATCGGCCGTGTCCGAGGTGCACGGCCGATGACAGATTGCACTGCTGCGCCGCTCTGCACTAGCGCAAACGGCGCATGTGCGGGAGCACGCCAAATGGCGTGCACCCGGAATGCAGATACACATCTGAAGCCGCCAAACGGCCATTGGCCGGGCGGCTAATGGTTAAAGGCATATGACAGTCATGTGAAACATGACAATGCGGTTTGTTTTTTTTTAAATTTTTGTTGCTGCTAAGCAGATTTAAAATGTTAAACACATCAAAAAACGCGGCAAAAACGCACTACATGCTTTTCTTCAGCATTTCCATTGAAGTCTATAGAAATGCAACTTTTTGTGTTCAAAAAAGTCCCTGACCCTTTCCACAAAACGCACCGGGTCAAAACGCGGAGGTGTGAACACATCCCACAGGAAATGTTAAATGGACTGTACTGTGTTTCTGCAAACCGCTGCAGAAAATGCAGAACCTAGGGTTAGAGAGGATTATGACCCTTGTCTAATTTTTTTTTTTTGCCATATGTGTCCCATTGAGGATATTACTTCCTGCCCCATAGCCAAAACAGGAAATGTGAGGAAATCCATGCAAATTAAGGGAATCCCTTAGGAACCCCCAGGTCATCAGAAACAGTGTCCCTATTGAAAGATTTCTCCTCTATTTTTCTGGGGACAACCCAAAATTTTTGTGATTTTAGTTTTTTTTTTACTTTCACTTTTAATGATAAACAGAACAAATAGTGCGGGATATTCTCCCTAAAGGGGACACAGGCAGCAATAAAAACTTAATAGGTGTTCTAATCCATCTCCACTCTATCCAAAACTCCCTGTAAATCCCTGTAGATAATTTGTTTGTAGGAATTTATGTTTTGAAGAAATCCTCTCTATAGGTTTCCCTTGCCCAGACTCATGCTCTCATGACCTCCTCTTTCCTATAGTGGAGCAATTAGCTGTGGCTCTGACAAACTGACCCTTTGGTATAGCCTTGAGTACATGAGTTGGATGACAACTTTTAGCATGGAGAGGAGTCTCGAGGTGGGTTTCCGGTAGACAGCTAATCCTGTTAAGGTTAACTATCTATGCATGATGAAGATTACATCATCAATATATCAAGAAAAGAATAATATCTGATCCCTGAACAGGTTGTTGTATCTATAGGTATTATACTCATCTCACCAGCACATATAAAGGTTGCTAACGGTGGGTACCACATCTCTGGAGGTACCAAAACCTATGAAATAAAAAATAATCAGTCAACAGAAATCTTATGCTCTCTAAGATGAAATATAACATCACAAGTCTCCTCTTTGTAAAAGATATTTTCTTTATCCTCAATTGGAGGATCTGGAGAGCTAAAATACAGGATAGTGTGTGCGTATAAATACATTTCTCCTTACACTGCTGTTTTCCTTGCAGGTGCGTATGGGTTAATCTGTACATCCTGTTTTTGAGGCTACAGCCTGCTCTTTGACTGAACTAAAAGCATAACATGTTAATCCTGCAACCCTTAATTGATGGGTTCCTGATGCAGACCTCTGTGCAAGAGCCACATAAACAAACCTGTATTTAACCACTTGCGCTCTAGAGGATTTACCCCCCTTAATGACCAAGCCTCTTTTTGCTACTCGGTGCTACACTAATTCAACTGATAATTGCGCGGTCATGCAATGCTATACCCAAATAAAATTTACATCCTTTTTTTCACACAAATAGAGCTTTCTTTCGGTGGTATTTGATCACCTGTGCGCTTTTTAAAATCCCAATAAGTTTATATTGATTGCTTTGTGTGAAAGTTATAGCGTCAACAAAGTATGGTATAGATAATGGAATTTACACAGCTTTTACTTTCTGACTGCCTATCACATTTCTTGAGGTGCTAAAATACCAGGACAGTACAAACAGCCCCAATGACCTCTTTTCGGAAAGTAGACACCCTAAGCCTGAAATCCAATGACCACTTTGAAAGCCTGAAGGTGCGTAACTTCCTCATTTCACTTCCTCCCTACCTATCACAGTTTCGAAGGCCTTGAAATTCCAGGATAGCACCAAACCCCCCCCCCCCCCAAATGACCCCTTTTTGTAAAGTAGACACCCCAAGGAATTTAAAAAGAGGCTGGGTGAGTATTTTCTCACAAGGTTTTGAAATATAAAAAAAAGAAAAGTAAAAATCTGTTTGTTCTTTTTCTTCATTTTCCAAAAACGTGTGGCAACAAACGAGATCTGCAAAATACTCACCATGCTTCTTATCAAATTCCTTGGGGTGTTCTACTTTCCAAAAAGTGGTCATTTGGGGGGGGGGGGGGTGCTATCCTGGAATTTCAGGGCCTCCGAAACTGTGATAGGTAGGTAGTCAGGAAGTGTAATGAGGAAATAAAGCCCTTTTAAAAGCCTGAAGGTGCTTATTGGATTTTGGGGTCCTGTACTTGGCTAGACTGCCAAAACGTCTCTCGCTTGTGGTACCCCCATACTCGGGAGTAATTCCACATATACCCATGGCATGTGTGAGCAATAAATCATTTAAGTGACAATTTTGTGTAAAAACAAAAAAAAACAAAAAACAAAATTTGTCATTTTCCAAAAACTTGTGGTAAAAAAAATTAATTCTTTTATTGATTCAACATGCTTCTCAGCAAATAGTTTGGGGTGTCTACTTTCCAAAAAGGGGTCATTTTGGGGGTGGGGGCGTTTTTATACCCAGCATTAAAAGTTTATGCCACACATCATTCACTCTTCTAACCACCTGAAGGCTAAGTCTTTTCTGACACTTTTTGTTCACATAAAAAAAATCAGTATTTTTTGCTAGGAAATTATTTAAACCCCAAATATTATATATTTTTTCAAAGCAAACACCCTAGTGAATAAAATGGTGGGTGCTGCAATTTTTTGTCACATAGTACTCCTGCAGCGGTTTTTCAAACTGATTTTTTTTTTTAAATACACTTTTTTTTACTTTTAATGCTCAAAAACACAATATATTTGCCAATTATTTGGTAAAATGTAAAAGATGATGGTATGCCGAGTAAATAAATACCAAACATGACATGCTTTAAAAGTGCGCATGCCCCGTGCAATGGCGACAAACTGCATACATTTTTAATATCCATAGGCAATGTTTTAAAAGCGTTTACAAGCTACCATTATAGATTTACAGAGGAGGTCTAGTGTTACAATTACTGCCCTTGATCTGACGTTCGTGGTGATACCTGCTGTTTCTATACTGGCATAGGGTCAACGCTCATGAATGCAGGTGTGCGCGTGCACGGGGGGGGGGCGAGGGTACTTTTTTTTTTTTTAAAGTTATTTTGATTTTTTAAATTATTTTTACACTGTCCCTTTAATTTTTTTTTTGATCACTTTTAATGCTACCACAGGGAATGCAAATATCCCCTATAACTTCAATGGGCATTGTCATATATTCTTTTTTGAGAAATCCGGGATCTATCAGACTCTAGATATCTCCTCTGCCCTTACATTATCTAATCAAACCAAGATCTGTGTGATCAGATGCTTTCCCAATTTACAAATGGTGCTGTTTATATCCTGCAAAACTGAAGTGATGAAATGCTCATAGATTCTGATTTTTTAGGCTATAGAGATAATTGGCACCATTCTGGTCCCCAATCAGCTCTATGGTCAGCTGGCATAAACACCGGCTACATTCTCAGGACTGCTCGAGAAGGCCATGGAAGGCAGCGGGAGAGGGGGTATTGTCTCCCGCTGCTTGTAAAAGCAAACCTGCAGCTAATTAGCCACTAGGATTGCTTTTACATGAAAGCCGATCGCCAGCTGTAAAAATGATACCAGGATGATGGCTGCAGCTGTAGGCATCATCCTGGTAAAACCATTCAAAGTCCCAGTGATGTACAAGTACGTCGCTGGTCCTTGTTGGGTATATATGCTATTTTTTTTTTTTGTATGCAGCCTGTGGACTGAATGAAAAAGAGAAGAAATCTCTGCCAAAAAAAAAAAAGTGTGGTATGCCCACCATTAGAATACACCGCCCTGCATCCACCCACTTCTAATGGTGGGCACACATTAGGTCACACTTTGCCACATGCCCCAGTTCCAAGATTGTACAAATGTCTAAATAGTGGCGTGCTTGAATAAAAATTGTCCATGTATAAGTGGTAACCCATATGGAAAAAGGATGACACCAAGTCCCAAACTATCTTGCCACTACTCCCCATGTAGTCTGAGCATCTTGGGGGCTCATGTGACTATCTTTTCCCTTGTAAATCCAAAACTTATAAGTATAGCCTGTTGTCCTCTCACAGGTCTTCTACATCTTGACCCATATCTGGCACGCTTGCTGGGAATAAATTATTTGAATGCAAGGCGGCCAGAAAAATGAATGAGAGGGACTCATCAACGCAGATTTTTTGCTGGGGAGTATAGACATCTGCAAATTTTTGGTTAAGGTGATTTACGAGGGGCTGAATTTTGTGGAGCCGGTCAAATTCAGGGTTACCTCGAGAACAACAGAGTGTATTGTTGTTCAAATGCATAAAACACATTATACTCTCATATCTATGCCTGGCCACGGCATATGATGAATCGGGTCTGAGGACCAATACAACCGCAATTCATTTTTTTAGTAATGCCCATGTTGAGGGTTAGGCCCAAAAAAAATATAAATTTGGAAACCGTAATTTTCTATTTCCACCTGAATTCCGGGTTGGGCAGTGAATGGGGGAAGTACGGGTGCTGCAGAATTTGTGGGCTGCCAATCGGGATTTGCAAGCACATCTGGAAGGATACTGGGGGCTCTACGAACCTGTGTGTTAATTCTTGGTGGCCGCGGGACAATACTTGTGCTCGCCATCGCACCAGCTTCTACTACACTTATGGGACTCGCCACGTCACCAAGAATTAACACACTGCAGTGCTGGTATTCTTATTATTATACAGGATTTATATAGAGCCAACAGTTTGCTCAGCACTTTACAATATAACGGGAGACAATACAGTAACAATATAGTTCAATACAAGAGGGTTACGAGGGCCTAATCCTGGGAGCTTACAATCTAAGAGGTATGTAGACCAGGATGTACTAGACTGCTGGTGCTTGCCAGTGCACCAAAAGGTAGCGCGGCACTAGTACTGGCACTCTGCTGCATATGAGAGTCATCAACATTTACCGGCAAGTGCTAACAGAGATCAGGCCTGATTCTGCCAACACTGCGGTTTTGTGTGCAATCAAGTGACAGTGACCTAAAAGCACTGCACTTGCTGGGGCAGAAGGGGGGGTAAGCGTAGGGGCTAAACGCAGGTGCTGGCAGGTGCTGGCAGGTGCCGGGGCTGATCCCGCTAACGCTGCATTTTTGAGGGGCGCTATAACTAATGTGAACGCTGGTATAGTGCTGATCTGATCAAAGATATTGATCTGTTCAGACACTATACTAGCAATGGAGGTTTATTGTGTATGAGCACGTTACTGGCAATCAAGAGGTTAAATGTGATTACTGGTGTACTAGTGGGCAATCTGACGTCATCTGGGAGGGGTGTGAAAACCACGGGAGCTCAATTCACATATATATGTGATTTTGCGCACCTGTGCCTCCCTGTAGCAGTATTTCTGCTATAGGGCGGTCAGGAAGCGGTTACAGAAGCGGTTTATGTTATGGCACTGCGTTACTTTTTAACTGACATTTGCACGATCATGCAACGCTGCATCAAAATTAAATTTACATCCTTTTTTCCCCACGAATTTGCGCGGTCATGCAACGCTGCACCAAAATGAAATTTACATCCTTTTTTCCTCACTTTCTTTCGATGGTTTTTGAGCGGCTGTGCGGTTTTTTTTTTTTTTTGCGCTATAAAAAAAAAAGACCGACAATTTTGAGAAAAAAAAAACAATATTTTGGGCTTTTTGCTATAAAACATGTCCAGTAAAAAAATGTAAAAATCAAATTTCGTCATAAATTTATGCCAAAATGTATTCTGCGACATGTCTTTGCTAAAAAAAAATCCCGATACGTGTAAATGAATTGGTTTACGTGAAAGTTATAGTGTTTACAAATGGCGGTATAGATGCTGGACCTTTTTTTTTTTTATACTAATTATAGTAGCGATCAGCGACTTATGTTGGGACCGTGGCGGACAGTCTGACACTGGGGGGGAACTGACTTGGGGTCACTGACATCCCCAGTGACACCAATACAGTGATCAGTGCAAAAAAAAACATTGACACTATACTAATGGCACTGGGGAGGAAGGGGTTAACTTTTGGAGACAATCAAAGGGTTAACTGTGTGAGGGGAGTGTTTTACTAGGGGGCGGGGGTGTGTACCTCTGTTGCACACTGTTCCAGAAGGCTGTGCCCAGCGATCCCGGAACAGTGTGCTGAAAGCTGAGGGAGGAAAGCTCCATTGAAAATTATGCAGCCTTCCTCCCTGTCTGTGTTTGCTGGCAATCACTGGGCTCCAGCGGGTAATCACCGTCCAGGACCCGGTGATTGACACCCGCGGCCGTGATCGGTGCCGCGGGTAGGGGCGATTGTGCGCGTACCCCCTACCCCGGAATGCAGGATCACGTTTAGATAAGTGATCCTGCGCACAGGGGCCGCCTTGTAGCAGTATATGTACTCTGGATGGTCCCCTGGTGATTGGTTGTTAAAGCCTGCAGGTGTTTGATTACTTACCTCCAGGCTAATAGGGTGTCCACCTCTTCTTGAGACAGTCTTAATTGATCTGTGCTCATTAAGATCTTAAAGCTAGGTTCACATCTCTGTGTTCTTGCGGGCCGCATCTTGCACTGGCACGAGAGCCCATTCATTTGAATGGACTCCCGTGCCCCGGGACACGCAGGGAAGTCCCTGCACTTCTTCGGAAAACGCAGCCCGCACGGGAACCTCTGTTTCCAGTACAATTGTGATTTCCAGTGAGGGCGGTGTGCCACTAGAATTAATGGCACCCGCTCGTGGGTCCGCATTCCTCTGTGCGGGTGGTGCAGCTGCACACATTTTTGTGCGGATCCGCAGCGGCACCACTCGCATAAATGTGAATCTAGCCTAAGAGCTGGAAGGCAGTCAGTGTATGGGGGAATCACTGGGTAGATTCAGGACTAAATAGGCAGTGGTAGGGAAACACCTACTACCACAGTGGTGTGTTCACCCACCTTAGGTTTCCATTATTTAGAACTACCCGAGTTCTCCACTGCATTGATGGATAAAAGTTTAGTGGAGGTAAACCCACTGCACGACCTGGTATTTGACAGGAAGGTCTTAGAGGCAGTGGTCCCACCATAAGGTAGGCCTGCAGTTACTTAAACTCTCAGGTGTGTCATCCTGGAAGGTGATAGGTGAAAACCACTTTCAAAATAAATATGAATGGTTGACGGCATTGTAGTGCAGCACTGAACTTTACTTTTTGGTGTTCATATGGACATGCTGGTTTCTGGGACAGACACCTAGCGATGGTATTGAACCGAGAGAGAATACACAGACTGCTTGGAGGGGTGGTATGGGTTCTTTTGGTATTAATCCCATCTGAACCACACTCTGTTGCCTAGTGCAGAACCCTTGGGAAGAATTATTGAATAAGAGGATCTCAGACCTTACCAATAATAAGTAACTAAGAGTAAATAACCAAAAAGTGCTTCTCTACAGTCATGTGTTCTTAAATGCAGACCATTTTCTTGCATCAACCATGCTATCAATATTACTCTAATTTAAAATATGCAGATCAAACAGAAATATATACTATATATACTATGTATGTATGTGTGTATATATATATATATATATATATATATATATATATATATATATATACACACACAGTAAATGAGTAAATATATATATACAGTATATATATGTATGTGTTGTATGTATGTATGTATATATATATATATATATATATATATATATTTATATATATATATACACACACAGTAAATGAGTACACCACTTTTGAAAAAAAAGATTTTAATCAATATCTCAATGAACACAAGAACAATATCCAAAACTTTGACAAAAATTAGTTGTATAGAACATTTGTTTAGCTCATTACATAATATAACTTTGATGACAATATCCTCAATTTTACTCAAATTAGTTGATGCAAAAATGACTACACCCCACAACAAAAACTACTCCATCTAGTATTCTGTATGACCTCCATAATTTGTAGGATGATTTTTAGGATAGCACCAAGTCTTCTAGGCATGGAATGAACAAGTTGGTGATATATTGCCACTTTTTTTTTTTTTTCATTCTTCAAGAACGACCTCTTTTAGAGGCTGGATGGAGAGTGACTTGTCTCTTCAGAATTCACCATAGGTGATTGACTAGGATAAGATCAGGTGATATACTTGGCCACTGAATCACTTTTACCCTGTTGTTCTTCAGAAATGCGCCAGTGACCTTAGATGTGTGTTCATGTTGAAAAAGTGCATGACAACCAAGGGCACGGAGTGATAGTAGCATCTTTTTTTTTCAATATAGAACATTACATCTGTGAATTCATGGCACCATCAATGAAATAAAGCTCCCCAACACCAGCAGCACTCAAGGACACTGCCACCACCATGTTTCACTGTAGGCACTATGCATTTTTCTTTGTACTCATCACTTTTGCGACGCCATACAGTTTTGAAACCATCAGTTCCAAAAATCTTTATCTTGGTCTTATCACAAAATCCCAGAAGTCCTCTGTCAAATTCTTTTTTTGTGCATGGGCTTTAGGAGAGGCTTCCTTCATGGATGACACCCATGCACGCCATTCCTCGGCAGTGTACACCATATTGTGTCACAGGAAACTATCACCCCAGTTTGGCTTTCTACTTCTTTAGCTAACTGCAGTGAACTTGAATGGCGATTTTATTCAACCCTTCTCATCAGAAGACACTCCTGTCGATGGCCTGTACATCTCTGTGAGATAGTTGCAGTTCCATCTTTGTTATAATTTTGTATCACTTTTGCTACTGTTATCTGACTGATAAGTAAAGTTTTGCTGATCTTCTTGAAGCTTTCACCTTTCTTGTGTAAATAAATAATTTTCTTTCTCAGGCCTTGTGGCATTTCTCTTCTATGTGGTGCCTTTGCTGTCAGCATGAAGTCAGAAGGGGTTTTCTTTGTTAAGTAACACCCTTTTTATAATCAACTGTCTGCTGAATACCTGTTTAATGAATAATTAGACTCACATGTAGTTAAATTCTTGTTCATTAGTATTTTGTTGTCTAAAATTTTAGCTTTGCTCCTAAGACTTTCATTGGTGTGTATTCATTTTTGCAACATGGTCTTGAATGAATTTCTTAAGAAAAATACTTTTGTGTGTGCAGGTTAACAAATCTTGTTTGCAATTAATGGCCTGCATTTGTGGGAGTAGTTTGTAGTATAATGTCCAATATAAAATGTTGATTCTGAAGGAATGTTTTCTAACAAATCTGTTGCGGTGTACTCATTTATGTCATAACCAGTTCGTAAAGTCCAAAACAATATCATCCACAATAGCAAATGCTTCTTTATCCCTCATGACCAATCTTCAGTAGATACTACCACCAATCACTCTCCACGCTCACCTTAATGCCTGGACCTAGAGTTGGTCATCATGTGCATTCCCCTTCAGGGGTTTTAAATGGTTGGTACTGAATTAGAAATATTTCAAACCATCTTAGTAATCTTTCCTCCAGCAATATAACTCGAAAGGAATAAAAAACTATATATAGTGTTTTATCATTTTAAAATGCAATCATTTATTAAAATCCAACGAAATACACTCAAAATGTTCGTGCACTATGACCCAGCAGTGCACCACCTTATTTGCTAAAAAACCCCAAAAAAGACCGAAAATGTTGAAAAAAAAAACTGTTTTTCTTTGTTCTGTTATAAAAATGTTGCAAATAAATAATTGTTCTTCATAAATTCAGGCCAAAATGTATTCTGCTACATTTCTTTGGTGAAAATAACCAAAATCAGTGTTTATTATTTAGTCTGTAGAAACGTTATAGAGTCCACAAACTATGGTATATATCTGAAAATCGATCAGTCCCGATGTACTGACAACCTATCTCATTTTTTGAGGCCCAGAAATGTCAGGACAGTACAGATGTCCCCCAAATAACCCTTTTTTTGAAAGTAGACAGTCCAAGGTATTTAGTAAGAGGCATAGTACATTTTTTGAAGTTGTATTTTTGTC